AATCATTGTTTGTCCATCTTATTACCTATTCTGAAAAGAGTGAGGTATATTCAAATCCCCAGTGATATGAGTTGATCCCATGTAAAATATGCAGTAATATATTTACCAATTGGTTGTTGCATGTTGTATTTATCCTATTTTCTAGCATAGATTGCAATTATTGTATCTGAAAAGTGAAAAGATATGCTTGTCCACTCTGGGTCTAAAATTGAAGTGGCTATCCAAATCCTTGATGATTTGGGTATCCCTTCCAGTGTGGCTGCCATGTTCTTGGTTCGCAGCTGTGGTATTTTTTCACATCTTATGGATAACATTTTTTCGTTCCTGTTTATTTGTGTAGTCATAGGTGTGTGATTGAGTGAAAGCCAAATTAACCCTGTTTCAAAAAAGACTTAGAAAAAAAATCCAACTTTTGAAAACAAAGACTACTAGTCTCTGCGGAGTTCTATTGTTATCGCTATTGTTTTAGTTGAACAAAGACTGAATGCATAATTAATGTATGGAGTTATATGGTACTCTTGCCCAGCGCTCTAAGCTGCGACCATTTTGGTTACCATGGCGAGTGAAAAAAATGTTTGGCGACTAAAATTCTGGCGAAAGTCACCAATTGGCGACCAACAGATTAAAAGAGAAACTTACTTGAAAAATTATCAACAATGAGACGAATTTAATCAATAGTACAAGCGGTGGCATCACCTGCGTTTCTCTTTTCGCCTCTCGTCGTTCAGAAACTCGACTGCGTAAAAAAATGGCAAATTCGATCAATTTGAAGGTGTAATTGGCAATGTTGCACGGTCTCAGCAGCTTTGTAATGTTGAAATAAATCGTTTTTGCTACTAGACAGTCTCTTCCTTTTCTTTCTCTTACAGTAACAAACCAACAGGGATGAAAAACGTCTGCGCGTGCGACAGAGGCCCGCGGTAAGAAACGCTGGCTCAAACGCGCGTTCACTCAAACTCAATAAATTTTTACGGGAAAAGAACAGCTATTTCAAAAGTTTAAAAAATAAGGAAGCGGTTGAAAAGATAAGGTTTTAATTATCAATTTTGAAAAGAAGAAAAGAATTTCAAAAAATGGAGGGGGTGTACAAATTGTACAAAAATTGTTCTCGCGCCGAAAAACGGTCTTTTGAGCAAAGTTTCTATACGGTTGCGAACTGGCTAATATTGCGGCAACGTTAACCGTGTCGCTTTAGCTTTTTCTGACCACTTTTTCGTCCGTTCATGCAAAATGTTGGTTCGTCGGTAAAACATGGAGCAGTAAAGAAGCTTTTAACGGCACTTCTAAGCCCCTGCCTCTTGGTTTCGCAAGAGCTATGAACGTGCCTGAAGAAACTCCAGTTTGTTTACATCATCGTCGCACGATCGTGAAGCAAGATAGTTGCTGCTCATCGCCGTTTTCCGACCGACATTCCAATTAATTAAACTTAATTCCTGTAAGCCTTTTCGAAATTTTGGACATAAGGGGAAGAAAGAAAGCGAGATATCAATCAGGGAGCACGTGGTGTGACGCCTGTGAAACAAAATTTTACTGAAATGCCGAAGGAGACTGAGGTATGGCGATAACAGATGGATTTCGATGTGAACTATGTTGACTGAAAATCATACATTTGGTTTTGTTTTGATTTCAATCTAGGAAAGAGATTCTAGGATTGAAAAAATTACGAAACAAGAGGCCATTTATTTGTTAACCAATGTTAAATATCTATCAGGTAAACTTCCACTCTTTTATCAAGCTAATATCAATGCGAGATATCAATGAGGGAATTTTTCCCTCATTGATATCTTGTAATGGTTCCATTACTTACTGTACATATGATGCACGATCCTCGCAGTAGATAGCGCTATTTAAGCAATAGCGAAAATCAGACCTGAAAAAAAATCAGGCCTGTACGGGATTCGAACCACTGACCTCTGCGATACTAGTACAGCGCTCTACCAATTGAGCTAACAAGCCAACTGGTGGCAGGCCGTTAAGTTGATTCGTAATAAACCCGTGAAAGTGATAAATGAGATACAATGTAATATATGAAGTTCACATATTTTGTACTGCGGTATTAGATACATATGATGCACGATCCTCGCAGTAGATAGCGCTATTTAAGCAATAGCGAAAATGATG